TGAAGTCCTCCACCCCCGGACGTTTCCGCCATCCTTGGTTTGGGGGTGTGACACCGATGATGACCCACAAGAGAAACCTGCAATCATACAAACACGATTCGCAATACCAGGAACTAAAGAAAACAAAACAAGTAATATCTTCGATTTAACTTTATAGGAACAATCCAAAAAACAGATCTAACATTAACAATTTATGTCTCCTCAAAAGAACGATAGCGTTCAGAGGAATACTTAGATCGAAAAAACAAGTAGATTCAACAAACAAGAAACGTAAAAAGAGAAGAAAATACCTGACAATCAGGTGATGAACAAAACTCGTTGAGCGTTATACGAAGTAGAATGAAGCCTTAGGCTCTGATACCATCTAAAAATCTAATCAACTCAACAATTCCTAACTTCATCATTTCATTTAATCATGAAACAGATGGTTTATACATCAACAGATTACAAAAGAAACCTTACAACATAAACCACTCACACTCATATGAACTGGAGAATCTATGTGATCTAAGAACAAAGTAACCTTATGAACAAACCCTAATCTGTTACAGTGAACGAGAGAAAAGTAGGTGAACTCATAAAACATCTTGAAAGAATGAATCAACTAATCGGTTCAGCTAGAATATATACCCGGGTCATAACTTCATGAATATATCCATAACCCGATCTACAACCCGCGTATAAACCCGTTTCCTCCTGCACTTTACAAAACACACCCATACAAAAATACATATAATACCATTTCTACCCTGTGCATAACAAAGATTAATGTTTAAGTTTGATTCAAACATTACTTTTCTCAACACCTATTAAAGTCAATGTTTAGTTTATTGACTCTGCAACGGAATGCAACCGAAAGCAATTTGTATCGGCTTCATGTATTGAAAAAAAAATATTGTCTTTGTAAAAATACATCAACAATCAACAATATATAATACAAAACACATTTTTTTAAATAGATAAAACCTTTACCTATGTGTGAAATATGAGATTGTATTGCTAAAGAATATACAAGAATCAATTTAAACATGTTAGCTTGTGTTTTCAATGAAATATGTACCGGTTTCTTGCTTGTTATAAACAAAAATTACTTTACTATTTGAAGAGTTATTTCCATAAATCTAATAATAATGGGTGAATTCATCAAAAAAAAAAAAAAAAAAAATTCTAGAGGTTTTTGATACATATTCACAAGGTTGAAAAGATTGTGAATGGAAAGATATGATATTGGCAATGAGACTCATGTTGTGTATGTTCATAATTATATTTGGTCAATCTTAATACAAATTCTCACACACACACACATATATATATATATATATTATATATATATATATATATATATATATATATATATATATATATAATATATATATATATATATATATATATATATATATATATTAGTAAAATACCCGCACGTTGCAACGGACATCGGTCGGGGGTGGAGTGTAATTTTTACTTCGACAATTAATTTATTTTTGTTGCTTAGTTTTATTTCAAATGACGGTGAATAATTTTTTTCGATGAATAGTTTCTTCTAAATTTTAAGGTATTAATGTTTTCATTTTTAATTTTACTAAAACCAATAGGAAACGTAAATATCAATTAACAAATCTTAGTAAAATACTTGCAAGTCTTATGAGTTTTATGATATTTACAATATGGATGTTTCCATTCACGTGGATTGACGGGCGGGAGATAACTTGTTGTAACATGCGAATAGTTTCGTTCGGTTATAATAGGTATACATATCTGTAATTATATTTTAGCTAATAGTTTCTTTTTAGGGTTTTGCGTCTTGCGTTTCAGTTTTCGGTTTTGAATTTAGGCTTGATCACATCGTTTTTGTAGGATATTGTTTGTGTATATGGCGTGAGTAACAATCATAGAAACGCAGCGACAAAATCGAAACATAGCTTCGGATAACGCTTAATGTTTAGAGTTTTGGCAATTAGTTTTCTTTCTGCTAATGTTGAATAATACAAAATCAAACTTGAAACCTCAAAATTTAGGTGAGATACATATTTCTTCAAAACATTTACTATTGGCCACATGTCATTTGTTTTATTTTAATTATATTAAATTTTACTTTTTTATGTTTGTTATTTTTAGATAGTTTAGATAAAAATACCATTTTTTTAAATATCGAATTTTAAACACGTGTTTTGGAAATTGGAATTTTATTTCTGAATTTTGAATTTTAAAATGTATATAACCATTATTAGTGAGAGCTTTTTTTTATTTACTTTTGGATGCAAAAAATGGACAACTACTTACTTTTCTTAATTATTAAAAACCATAGCTCCTATTATCCATTCTCTTCCGTAGGTATAAGTTGTAGGTAATCAACTCATATGTATCATTTCAATTTTTTTATTTTCTCATTTTTCGACACTAATTTTAAAATTTTGTATCAATATTATTGTTACTAGACTAAACGGTATCGTACCGTTTTCACCGATGGTCAGGTATATATTTTGCAAATTTTGCAACTTTTAAAAACAGGTAGGATGTGGGGTTTTTGTTTACCACCAGTAAAACCCACATAAATTTGATTTTTACCACCGCTGAGTTTCCATCATCAGCATTCCAACAATACACCACCGGTAAAAGAAAGGATCAAGGGTGGTGTTCACCGTCTGTGTTCTATATATAAGTATTGAACTTCTTGGAATGTTTTGGTGAACTATCTTATTTTTATGTGTTATAAATAAAGAAAATAATAGTTAAATAGAAAAAATAGTTATCATATACATTTGTAATATTATTTATATTTTACCAATAAATAATATAATATAGAAGTTAACAATAAATATAAATTACATAATAGATATAACAATAAATACAGTTTTTGTATTCTTATATTTAATATAATAAAAACAAAATATAGAATGTGTAATAACTGCCCTATGTCTTCGATGGCAAATGTCTAATTATTATTAATGAACTTAATATTTTTATAAATATCGGCATTGTCTAGATAAGTAAAAACTATGTTACAATATAAGATTAACACATACAAAGGAAACGGAGATCATTAAATGGTATAGATAACGTTGTTTGTTTTGAATATGAGAAGTGATTCGTACACAACTGTTTTTTGTCATACACAACAATTTATGTATTATAGAGTTGTACAATACAACATTTTAAAACAAAAATTGTTGTGTACGGAGAAAAAAATATTGTGTACGAATCAGTTCCCTTTGAATATTTGAAAATATGATGATATAGACTATTTGCTTTAGTTTTGAGCTTGTAATTCCACTTTATAACATACTTTTGTTTTGAAATTGTAAGTTTATTACATTATCCGTTTTTATTAAATTAAGTTAGCACTACCATGTTCTCTATCAATTCCTTCCAAGTTTATAACTTTTGTTGAGTATGAACCAGTTAAGACTTTCTTTTTCATTTATAATTCTTTTTTCTTATTTACTATTGCAATTTACATTTCTAACTCCATAATTAACCATAGTAAAGCTCCTTCCATATTATTTTTAGAAAAACATACGCAAAACTCAGAAACAACTTTCATTTTATTCATATTATAAAACAATCAAATAAAAAGCTCCTCGATATTCAAAAACTAAAAACCCTCTGAATACAATAACATTATATTACAACAAAAATTGAAAGAAATGGAAAAAATTAATTATAACAAACGGATCATATAAACCCATAACGTACAAAAAAAAAAAAAAAAAAAAATTACAACAAATACACTTATATCATAAAGAACCAGAAGTTAAAGATCAACTGAGGAGCTTTGTTCGGTATAGTAATAAAGCAAAAGTTACTAATAGATGCATGGCATCAACAAATCGTTTTTCTATAACAAACAACAATAAATACTTCATGGTTGCTTTGTGTTGATGTATTTACTTGATGTATGACATCTATAAAAAACAGATCTAATACACAAGGTAAAGAGAATGATCAAATAAAACCAAAAAGAATAATAAGAAAAGATAAGTCAAAATCTTTAAGCAAAAGAAGATGCAAAGCAAATAAAAAATTTTAGAACGGTCGATTTGATTCCAGGTCATTACAACACATTTACTTTGTTACTTCTTTTTCTTCTACGTTCTTCGTTGTAAGAGTTCTGCAAATCAAACCTAAATAAAAATATATTAAGTTAACATGCATATATATAGAGAGATAGGTTCAGGTGTTTAATGTATTTATCATGTTATTATATGCATAAATGTGAGTCAAACATTTTTTAAGAAATATTAAATAATTAATAAATTATTTAAGGGGTATAATAGTAAACTTGAACCATTTTATTTTTAGTAGATATTGAAAACATTTAATATCCCTTTGAATTAGGAATTTAGTTTAAAACCCTACAATATATCTCCCCCTCACGCTGAGGCAGGAGACTTCACCGTGGGTTTTCTTTACACCTTGTTCCCGAGTCTAATTAAGTTTCATTAAACGAAAGAAAAGAAATGGAAGTAAAATATGGAGAGAAAAGAAAGGGAGGGGAAGGAAGTGATTAACTTTTTCGTGTTCCCGAGTGCGAAGGAAAGGAAAGGAAGTTTTTTTCAAAAATGTGTTCCTGAGTTCGAAGGAAAAGTAAAGAAAAGAAAGCTAAATAACAACATTACAATTTTATCCTTATTTATTTTAGCAACATTATTACATACATAGTTGAAATTGAAAAAAAAAAATATTGATTTGCATGTTAACGTCATATTTGTTGTCTAAACATTCGTTTACACACATACATATATATTTTGTCAAATACCACCTTCATATAATATTAAATTAAATTATCAATGAGTAGCAAAACATAAATAATATTAAAATAAAAAAAAGTTGTGGATATCTTTTAATAGCATTTTTCTAATTGAAAAGAAACCAAACTATAAAAATCATCCAAAACAATGCAATTTAATCCAACTACGATTCGAAAAACCATAATTCAATTCGTGAAACCAAAAAAAAGTTGAACAAAGAACCAAGAAATAAACACCTATTCTCCCAATTCATCATTTACCTGCGCCCATCATTGTTTTTAGTATATCCTTCCTTATGTTCATTGGACAAGTAAACAACGTCCTTGCATCTGCTTGGTTACGAGCCAAATACATGAGAGCATCTGGTATTTCATGGGCTTCCAAACCCATCGGCTGCAATTCTTGATAAATTTCATCACCTGTTAACTCATGATGGTAAGCTCTTTCAAATATTTTGTTACCTTCCCTCATAGCATTAGCCACATCACCAATAGCATTCATAATCTTTGTTTCAAATGTTTCAGGTTCAGGTTGAGGCTGAGGTTCAACTTCCTTTTCTACTTCATCTACGAGTTTTCTTTTTTTAGTTTTACATTTTTTCGCACTTGAATTTTGTTCAGGTGTAGGAGACACCACTTGAATGTCATCTTCATCATCATCCACACGTTGGTTCTCCAGTCTAACATCATTATTTGCTAATAAAGAATCAACCTCTGAAATACTTTCTATTTTGATGTCCGTAGTGTTGTTAAACCTAGCATTTCTCTCCTTTGCAGTTTCAGCATTTTCTCCTGAAGCTCTATCTCTTGCAAATAATACCAACATTTGTTCAAAGCGGGCCACCTTTTTTGTCTTCAGTGCAACCACATCAGGCTTTGACTGTTTAAAAACCCCAACATACATTAAAATTAATAATAATAACATAATATAAAAATAAACTAAATACAACCTTAAATGAAAACTAACCTTAATTAAGTTATCCTAAACCTCCTCATCTGTTCAATTAGTTGGGTATCAGCATTCCAACCGAACTCACTCAAGGAAATCCCATTGAACATGTCATGCCATTGTTAAAAAGTAGATTTCAAAGTTTTCAAACAATTTTTTAGATGACTTTTAGTTAAATTCATTGTAAGTTTCTTATTGAGCTCCTCAACCATATTCGCATACGCGTGTGAAGTAAAATTTCCATAAGGCCTATTTCCTTTTTCTTGTTATTGTACCATTGCATCAACAAATGCAGTATCCATAAGTTCTGTCCAGTTCAAGAGTGACTTCTTACCGGTATTTACAGTATGTTTTTGCTTGTTCATTATCGGGTTCTACATAACATAAAAAGAAACATACATTATTATAAAAAGAACATACTTATAAAGTGTACAAGTTATAAAAAATAACATAAAAAATTTAAATAACACAAATAATTTCACAAAACAATGTTCAATAAAAATTCAAATTGTAAATGTAGTAATATAACGAAATACTCTTAAACTATGTTGACATATTTATTTCATTGTTTGGATTCAATAAGTAATTAGTCCACATTTGATTTGCAATTGAGTTCCTAAGTTTCTCTTCCCTGCTGTTACCCTCACGCGCACCACTTGAATCATGTCTCACTTCCTTTGTTGGTACACTTAACACCTCCTTAATACCTCATCTTCAAGATCTTTGTCACGATCTTCAACTATCAAAAAGTTATACAAAATACAACACGCCAAAAAAATATTTGATTGTGTTTCACAAGAATAAAAAGGTTCTTGTGTACTTCTAATGATAGGGAACCTTCTTTTTAGAACACCAAATGCCCTTTCTATAGCATTACGTAATGAAGCGTGACGAAGATTGAACAACTCTCTAGCATTTTGTGGTGCCCGAGTGGAATATTCTTTTAAATGATACCTAACACCTCTATATGCCGCCATTAATATAGTTGAGTGAGGCAAATCCGCATCTACTAAATAATAGTGACCTATAATTAAATTGTAATTAGTTTTTTTAATAATAAGTTAAACTAAAAAATAAAAAGTTGGTACTAGAAATTACCATTTGGAATTACTAGTTTATCATCTCTATTAAGTGCATTCTTTAGTATCCTTGAGTCTGATGCAGTACCCTTCCAACCGGTTAAAACATACGTAAACTTTAAATCAAATGAACAAGCAGCTAACACATTTATCGTTGGGTAACCCTTGCGGCCACGATATCTAGGTGCATCTCTATTAAGTACTTTGACACGAACATGTGTACCATCAATTGCTCCTACATAGTTCTTGAAGTAAGGAAAGAATCTATTTTTCTCTTGAATTTCTTTGGGGACAACATCACCTTGTGGTTGTTGAATATATAGGCTTTCTAATGCTATAACCGAGCGCAAAATTTTATGGAAGCACCTACTCGTTGTGGATTTCAAGCGCCGATACATCCAAGAGACAAATGTATTTCTCAAACCATTACCTACAATGTGCAAAAATCTTGCAACATGCTCTTCAACAGACATTCGTTGAGTAGGTCGAAGACCACCATCACGTCGTAAGATAACAAATAGCTTCTTAAAAGCTTGCTCACTCATACGGATAAGCTGATGACATTGACCACCATTTGAAAGGTTATGTAACAACTCTTCCCGTACACGTCGACGTTTTAAAAGAGTTTCTCTAGTAGGTAAATTAGGATCATTGTTGATGGTAAGTTTGCGTTGTACCAAAATAGCAATCAACAAGCAAATTAGATGAACAAATTGCATTTGTCTTGATTTCAAAATATGAGCGGGTGAAGGAAGGTCAATATCCATTGAAATCATGTGACCTATTTTATGTACAAAATGTGAAAGATTGTAAATAGTGCATCCTAACAGCAGCAAAAAATAGCCACACACCAAAAATATAAGCAAGGGCAAAACAGTCAAACGGGAAAGTTGGTAATGAACAAAAAAAATTTAAATCATTTTAAAATTTTTACCTTCTAAGTTTATCATATTAGGAAGGTTCATCAACATATCCCAATAAATAAATTGAAAGTTGTGTTTAAATGTGAAGCAAAGAATTAAAGTTTTTGGGAAGTTGAGTGATGGTTTGAGGAATTATGCTTATATGAAGAGAATTGGTGTTGATGTGAGAATGTCCCATTATTTGGTTAAAGAATTAGGTAGCATCATCTTGAATATAAAATGGAAGTAGCAATATTATATTGTAAATTTATATGAATACATGTTGGCAAACTGATTGGTAAATACAAATCATCGCATGGATGGATGGGTAATTTCGTACAGCAGGTTACACACCCAAAAAATTTTCACACGCCTAAAAAATACATGCATTGTCTCATAGTTTATGCATGTATTTGCTATTAAAAGGAACAATCACATAATGTTTTAAATGTAAAATGTTTCAACATAAACAAATCACATTAACTTCATATTTAGTTTCATATAATTAACATCTATATTTAGTTTCATATAATGACGTTCTAAACCTAAAATCACAGGCAACCTAATGAATCAAGTCAACTTTAAGAACAATAATGAAGAAGAAAGCAATCATAATAAACCAGAAAAAAAAAGGTTGTAACATATATTGTGAAAAAAATACAGGGGAGAAGAATGGAACCTGATTTTTTGTTGTATGTTGTGAACAAAAGAGGTCTGCAACAGGCTTGTAGAAGAAGCAGCGTCGTTGAAGCAGTAGGAAGAAATACCGAACCCAATTTTTTGTATGCTGAGAATGATATCGTGATCTTATTTAACTGTGTGTTGTTATCCTTATCATTGATTCTCTTATCTCCAAATCTCTCCAATTTGGGAGGAAGATTAGGAGGGAAGATTTTCCTCTGATTTCCTTTCTTTTCTTCCTAAATCATTCAAAAAAAAAAACTCGGGAACACGATGGTTTACTTTTTCTCTCCGATTCCCTCCCTTTCTCTGCACTTCCCCCGTTAAATGAGACTCGGGAACGGGGTGTTAAGGGCGTCGACGTTTTCCCTAAAGCTACTTGCCGGCTCGTGCTCGTGCTTGGACTTCAAGCAGAGCCTTTCGTTCTACGATAAGCGATTTTTGTTGTCTGTTATATAAATACGGTTCATGGGTTTTGCTATTACTCACAATTGATGATCCCTTTTCCTCCTACATTTTGTTGGTATCGGCTTCAGGGAAATTTGCCAAGGTTTGTTTATACCTCTGAACATTAGTCTCCCTTTCACTATGGAGTTTCAATTTTAACTTATTGTGTTTATAATCTTCTGATTATTGACATGATTTTGGTTCTTCATCTTGAGTGCTTTTTAAATATGCAAATGATAGTTTCTATTTTATAGTGGTTTTGAATTTTTGTACTTTTAGTTTCGGCACTCCAACTGTTTGATATAATGTATAGCTGAAGTTTTTAACTTCTTTATGAAAATTTAACAGTTTTAGCTATGCTAGGTTATGATTTGAGTTTGATAGACTGTTGTGATAAACACACTTATTAATCTGTGTATTTCATGTCTGAATCTCAACAATATGAGAATTGATAACTGGATTGTCCATCAAGAGTTTTATGGAGAAGAGTTCATGAGTGGTAATGTCCAAATTTTTTTACCCACGATTGGTATTTCTTTAACTCTGGGGTAATAAAGTTGTACATTTTTTAAAGTAAATCAACAACTTTCTCTCATAAAATTTCCCTTCATTTAACATTTGTTGATGATAGTTTCTCTTGAGGACTTTATTGATCTTAACTCATAAGGCTAATATTGTCCCTTATTCCTATTAATCGTGTACCAATTAGGAATTCATAATCCATTGTTAGCAGTCTTTTCTGAAGGTCCTTTTTTTGGCAATCCCATGGAATGATGGAAGAATCTTGAATTACTCGATGATGTTCATGCTGTTGAGAAAACAAAGTGTTGACCAAAACAAGACATATCCTTATCTAGGCATGGATTTGGTTTTTTTGTCTTTCTTTTGCCATTTTTAAACAATTTTCATCATGGTTTTGTTTAAATTTTATTTCTCTTTAATGGGTTTGTGTGACTTTATTTTGGTTTGCTTCTTTATGCTTGAATGTTATCTTATATTGTTGGTTTATAATGATCAAGTGTTGAATACCATTATTTTTGTAGGTAAGAAATGAGAGATATCAAAGCAAAACATGGTACATATGAAACTTACAACATTCTACTGGAATGGAATCTTGAATTCTAATTATGTCATAATAGAATCTTGTATTCTTGTATGGTTCAATCATATTTGTTATTTTTCAATATATTGATAAACATATTCAGTCAAAATTTTCGAATTAGGAGAAGTATCATCCACACAATCATATTTTTAAAATTAATAGAATCTATTTTCCTTAAAATATGCAATTTTCCTTTTTTAAATTTATGTCAATTGACTAAAATACCCTTAGAATGAAATTAGATTGTATTTTTTAATTTAATAATATGTATTATTCACTTTCCAGAAATAAGTAAAATGATTGGTCTACAATTATGCATATAATCACACAATACTTAGTTTGAATAGAATAACCTAAGCCTATATATATATATATATATATATATATATATATATATATATATATATATATATATATATATATATATATATATATATATATATATATATATATATATACACCGACGAAAGTAGTAGGTGTGAGTAGGTAGGCTAGAAGCGAAACGATGACGGTTTACAGATCTATCCGTGGGTGTGCGTGGTGAGGCTAGAAGTGACATCGGTTCTTGGTGGTACGATGGTGGTATAGGGGCGGTTATTATAGGTTGTTTGCTTGTTTAGATCTTGGTTGTGGAGGCTTTAAAAAATGTTGTTCAACATCAAGGCAGTTGTGTCGGTAGTAATAGGTGGTGATGGTGCTTGTCGCGGCAAATAGAAGAAGAAGTGGTGTAATTGTAGTGGTGGCTGGCAATAGGGTTTTCAGAGAAATGATATACGAATGACATAAATGCAGGAGCAACATATGTCAAATATTTTATATGCGTATGAGAGAGGTGTTTTTTATATCTTTAAGGGTGTGTTCGACAAAACTAGCTGGTAGTTTGTAGCTTGTAGCAGGTAGTGGGTAGTTTGTAGCTTGTAGCGTTTTTTTAAACACTACATGAAGTAGCATTTGGATTTGGAGCATTTTGATTAAACTAAACGTTAAAAGATTGTAGTGCCAAACGAGGTTGTCTGTTTTAAATGGAGTGTTTTGAGGGGTTTTGGTCCTAAGAACATCCTATGTGCTCATACAAACCCTAATGCTTGGATCTAGGTTTCTCTATTGTACATGCAAGTTATCCAAGACTATAAACCCTAATTCTATCATTCAAATAATCATATTAGCCATAAGAATAAGTTTATAATGTTACCTTGATTGTTATGTAGCAATAACAATCCCAAATTTCCTTGAACTGACTTTGGAAGGCTTAGAGTCACAAGTGTCACTCCTCTAATGGTTCACAAACACCATAAGCAAGAGGATGAAGAGGAGAGAGGTTGGAGGCTGCCCAAGAATATAAGATGTTATCGTCTCACCAATCACTCGTGATACAATTCATGGAGTGATCCAAGTGAGCGTGCGTTTAATCCAATGCTCAAATTCATATTCATAAGCACTCATGAACGTTGCAACAAACATTTGCTTATGTCTAATACTCTTTTAGACAATCCACACACCAATTCACGATAGTCTTCATTCATATCTACTTCCAACATATGAACGACTGTGGCCCGTTTGAATAATTTGATTATTCTTAATAAACTCAATTATTATGGAAGTCAAAACATGCAAAGTGAAACACAAGAATAATACTAATCCCATATGGCCTCAAACCTTTGAGTATAAATAAAACTCCTTTTATTTATCACCATATCGATTACTCATTATTTGTCGTTTCGGGTAATCAACTTCTTACTTGAATCATTACACTTGTCCCATGCTCCTAGCATGCACACAATGTTTACCTATGGTTCTTACTTTGTGAAATAGATCAATTGAACACATTTCCAATCATACTCATTTCACAACTCCAAATCCTTTTTCATTAGTGAAAGAATATCAAATTCTTGCTACTTATAGAATATGTTAGATTCCAACATTCTATGCAACGATCATTTCATAATGTCACTGCACCAAAGTCACAAAGACTATTGCCAATGATATTACAAATTCCTCTATCGGAGATTGTTACAAGACAATTCCTTAGATATGACGTCTCTCACTCAAAGTACATTCCTTTGAACATCCTTTTGCATAAAAGTTTCTAATCTAGTCATAGATTTTCCAATATTCAATTTCCAATATGGACACGCGTCCATATTTTCCATATGACAACTTATTCTTAATAGAATCTTATCTATTCATAATAATGTCGATATGGTCCATTCAATACCATGCTTCCAACTACTCACAACCAACCAATCCTCGTCGAACTTTGGATTGTCCTTTGATAGTTGTTTAATTATTTTAGTCAAAACCAATTCTAGTCCCTTTTCCTCTAAATGCGCTAGACATTTGGAAAATTTTAGAATGGTGAAATATTAATGCATTTGCAATCGATCCTATACCCGAAGCGTATGGGACACGACGCATAATGTTTTATTTGCTATGTTCTCAAAATTCGAATTGTGAAGAGGAATGCCGTAATCATAATCGAAATTTTAAGAACACACTATGTACCTTTGACTAAATTTATTAACATTTCTCAACCTAAGCCTTTAGATTTGAAATGAAGCATAATATTCTCTCCCTTAATTATAGCAAAACAACTATTCCATCCTTACAACTTTGCAAAGAATGACTCTTGTTTTCT